CTAGGCCAGGCCAGTTCCCCAATCTCCAGTTCCTCTTGGGGCTTGTTATCACATGGCCCCCTGCCGACGCAGAGAACTCACCATGTCAAGGGCCTTATGGCGACCACGAGTGCGCAGGGGGTGGGTCCACCCCCAAGTCGCCCAAGGGTTTAGGGTTTAGGGTTTTTTTTCTCACCCGTGTCGCGGTTTAGGGTTTAGGGTTTAGGGTTTAGGGTTTAGGGTTTAGGGTTTAGGGTTTAGGGCTTAGCGTCATCAAGAGGGTCTTCAGCATCGCGGATGCCGCAATCGCCAAGATTCTTGGAACTAGCTAGGAGATGCGAAAGTGAGGCTCAATTAGTCTCAGTTCGGACGCTCCCAAATATCTCTGCTCATACCCTTCTCAGCTCAGGAGTTCGTTGCCCCATACCCCTGCCCAGTAACCCTCCCACCGAAACCCTAAACCCGAAACCCGAAACCCTAAACCCGAAACCCTGAACCCGAAACCCCAAACCCTAAACCCCAGGGTGCCCCAAAGCCACATCCCCGCCTGGTGCTCCACCGGAGAGCTTGAAACAAAGCACTGCTGGTCATCGACATCTGCGCCAAAGTGAAAGGAACCTAAGGATGCAACTACGGAAAGCCGCTATAAAGCATGGTCCCTGTTTGGGCACCCTGTTTAGGGTTTATAAGGTTTAGGGTTTAGGGTTTAGGGTTTAGGGGTTTAGGGGCCGCCTTATAAGAAGGACCCCAAGCAGGACCACAGTTTCGAGGGGCGCCATGTGGATTTGGGGCTTCGGATAGGGTTTCATCGCTCACACTCGGACAAGGCAGGGGAGGCACCTCTGTCCCATGGGCGGATTGGGGTTCAGGGTTTGGGGTTAGGGTTTAGCCCGAACCTCTATGTGCCAAGGCCCTGTGTTATCAGTCACCCTAAGCCCTAAACCCCAAAAACCCTAAACCTCCCTAAGATCAAAGCCTCTTGCAGCCCAGCCACGGTCCTTACCAGGATAGCACTGCCTTCGCTACCATGTGCTTAACCCCCCCCCCCCCCCCCCCCACCCCCACAAAAAAAATGACACTGCATGGGTTGAGGGTTTAGGTTTTAGGGTTACATGGGCGCCTAATGTGGTCCCACATCTCCCTTTCAGGGTTCTGAAGTGGGGGCCCGGTTGTAGAGGGTATATAAGGGATCGTTTAAGGGGCCCACACTAAGGGCCTATGGAATAACCCCCCTACCCCCTAATATGAAATGCTGGTCTTAGGCCTTACGGGTTTGTTTGGAGCCGTTTATCTACCATTTGCTTCATAACCCCCCCCCCCCCCCCGGAAAAAAAGATAATCATCCCAATATTACACTCAAAAGATGTTTTTTCTCTTTTTTTGTTGGGGAGGGGGAGGTTCTTGAGCACTTACTTGTTCGCCCGTGAGATGCCGGGGGTGGGATTTTTGTTGTTCGTGCTCCTGGATTGTTAGAGAGGAGATTTTCAGTTTCCCTTGCGGTCTTTTTGTAGGACGTCCACTTGTTGATGAGGCGAATCTTTCTAATCGGAAATCTTCCAGATACCTGCCTTCTTCAGAAAACCATGATATCTTTTGAAGTTAGGAACTAGGAACCTTGTTGCGCTCTGCAAGCGAGGCTGCTTGACGCTGCATTTGCGGCCCCTGCCTCCCCCGCCCCCGTCCCTTCCTGCGAATCTGAAGTATCCCAGGTCCTACTGCTCCAAACCCTAAACCCTAAACCCTAAACCCTAAACCCTAAACCCTAAACCCTAAACCCTAAACCGCATGGAGCAAATAGAAGTCGCACCATGAATCCTATGCTCGGCTAGAGGTAATCACACCACTGACCAAGCGGCGCTGGCAACTGCATTGACTGGCAGGTTGTGCAAGATGCCAGATCATCTTGACATGTGACGGCAGGAGACATCGAAGCCTTCAGAGCTCGCTGGTACTTGGGTGTTTCCGAGATGTCGGGTTACCTCATTGGGGTTTATATTGCAACTATTTGGGGGTCTATACTAGGGGTCCCTTATTTTCGTAAACTCCGATTTCTTCAAGCATGACACAAGATCCGAGCGCGCGTTTCCGCGCAACTTGGTACACGGAAAGCCCGACTTGATGCTGTCAACTGGTAGACGTGAACCAATTTCACGCATTCTGCCGGCTTGCCGAGACTGAGCTTCCCGCGCAGAGCCAAGCGGATCCCAACTGAAACTCGCTGCAGTGGCAAACTGAGCCAAATTCTGCGTGATGACATGGACCTGGATCTCTCATCAAGCGGCGCGGTGTACGAAGCCAACGCTGCGAACTGTCAGGCCAACAATGGTGAGGGTTGTAGGGTTCAATCACAACACACAACGATGCGCGCGGAAATTCAAATTACACTCTGGGCCTGGGCTGACTCCCCTGTGCCGAACAAGGAAAGCGCAACGAAGGCAGAGAGCGGACTTCTCTTGCTTGTGCCATACTGAGCATTGGAGAACTTTTGCGATGAAGCACGCGGATGTTGCCTAAGTCAACTAACTGATCAGGCAGGCCCTGGCCACGCTGGCGGAAGATGTCCTGACGCAGACCGCAAGCCTTAACTTCCGAAGCCTAAACCCTTTTTGTTGAACCCCCGACTTCTGATGCTAGCCGGCACGAAGCCCTTTTTGCTCCAAACCCTCAGCAACGTGGTTTGACGCTTGTCCGGCTCTACTCGTACTCGGCTCCAGCACGAGACGCAGTTTGTTCTGACGTTCATCCGCTGTTGCAGTGTGTTCTTTCAGGCATCTTCACAATGACAGACGATATATATATATATATAGATATATATATATATATATGTACATATATATCTGTTGGTATAGCTTGTCGACCCACTGGAAACCACTTCCATGGTTCTGTGCCAATGTCCTCATCTCTTGCTGCCGAGCCTTCTTACCTGGCATGTTCTGGCCACAACAATGCATCCGCACAGTCAGGTTTGGGAAGACTTTTTCAGGAAACAAGAAAGCTGCCCCAGGAGTTTCCACAATCATCATAATAATAATAATAGTAGTAGGAATAATAGTAATAATAATAGTAATAGTATTATTATAATCATGATAATCATAAATAGCAATACTAACAGTAAGTGGCAGTCAAGCCCCAGTCTGCGACACTGCTCAGAAGCTCGCTTTGCGGCTTCTGCGGTCAGCTCCTGCAGCAGCGACTCCATTGCCTGCAGATCCGGCGTTTCGTGTGAACCGCGAGGCTGGGAGCCTAGGCACAAGTAGCACGAAAGCCTCGCGCGGCAGATCCGTCGCCAATGCTGCCTCAGCCAGGTGAGTCTCGATGGCACAAGAAACATTAACAGCTTGTTCTAGTCATGTCATCCGAAGCATGATGAATAGCTGCCTGCACGTTGGAACTGCGGTGGCTGGCTTCGAAGCCACTCAGCTTGACCTGCAAAAAGACTGTCGAAACCCTTCTGGTATCCGGGAAGTCGGAACACGCCTCCCCCCCCCCACGCAACAGAAACTCGAAAAGAAGAAGGGCGGAACATCAACCGGAACGTCCCTTGCACATTGCACGCTTAGCACAAATAGCAACAACAAAGGTCATGATTTTATGACGATCAGACTGATTACAAGAATCATAACAGCTTGTAACTCTATGTAAATCTATTTATGGCATTCTATCCTTGCTCTCAAGCCGCACTTCTTAAGAACCCGAGACCTAGTTCTTTGTAGGTTACCTAAAAATCCTCGAAGGTGTTCTATTCACCTACCCTACAACAAGTAGGTTTAGGGTTCTTCAGGCAAAACCCTAAACCCTAAACCCTAAAACCTCAACCCTAAACCCTAAACCCTAAACCCTAAACCCTAAACCCGAAACCCTAAACCCAAACCCTAAACCCTAAACCCTGAACTCGAAACCCTCCGATGCACTGAAGCTCAGCTTGGTTGGAAGTGGCCTGCGGGGCCAAGGTCTTGGAGGCCTTGGCGTGGCTTTTTTTTCGCTAGGGTTTAGGGTTTAGGGTTTAGGGTTTAGGGTTTGGGGTTTAAGGTTTAGGGTTTAGGGTTCAGGGTTTCGGGTCACTCTTGGTACTACTTGTCGGGTTTTCCGGAAAGGGAAAGTATCCAGAACCGGAGACGGGCCTGATTGTCGGCCGGGGCTGAGATTTGATGGGCACAGCGCTGCTGGCTTTCAGTTCTCAGCAGCTCTTTTTGGGGGGTTTAGGGTTTAGGGTTTAGGGTTTAGGGTTTAGGGTTTAGGGTTTAGGGTTCTGAGAAGTTGCATGTTTGCCGGCAGCCTCCAAAGTCCGTTGCTCAAGGGTTTAGGGTTTAAGGTTTAGATGATAGGGGTACCCTTTTTGGGGGTCCCTCTAAGGGGATTATTCTCCATTTTGGGGTATAGAAGGGGTACGTCTATTTTGGGAAATACCCTTCTGGTCAACCCGAAACCCTGCTCCAGGGCCCTTTTGTCAGGCTTAGTTTCTCGGACAAGTTTCCTGGCCCTGACCTGTTAGTGTGAGAGTCGAAGCCCTTTTCGGTACGACAAATATTTCAATTTAGAGAAGCTACCCTATATTAACAGGAATAATACAATACAAGACGTACATCAACATGGTAATACTCGAAATATAGTGATCTCGAGGTGTGAATTTTCTAGGGTTTTTTGCAGGGTTTAGGGTTTAGGGTTTAGGTTTCAAGGCTTACGGTTTAGGGTTCAGGCTTTAGAAGGGTCAAAGCGCAGTATTCGAAAGCAGGGACAGTCAGGACAGCAACCTGGAACCCTTCACAGCATTGCGCGTTTTGTTCTCTTTCTCCTCTCTCCCGGGCTTCGCTCCGCTGCATACAGCAATCTACGGCCCTCATGTCCTTCACATGCGTAGGTGCAGCGATAGCCAGGAGAGCTGGCGCGCCCGCGATCTTTACTACGAATTGCTTAAGGCCCCCCCCCCCCCCCAAAAAAAAAAAAAAAAAATTCTTCCTTACAAGGGTAACATAGGGATTCTTGCGTTTTGGGGGGGGGGGAGTTCCTATGCAAATAGTAGTTTACAAGCAGCTGATGAAAGCCAACAGCGGTATCAGCAGCCCGGCCAACACGCGCGCAGCGCTGCTGCGCTGTCCCCAGCCGGAGCTGGTGACGGGATAGACAACCAGGTCCTGTGGATAGGCGATGCCTCGGAAGCACCATTTTTCGTGCACTCAAGGACTCAAGGGACCCAGAACTTAGATCCACCCCCCCCAAGATAGGCATGATCTGGCGGAACGTTGATGAAAAACAGCTGATGCCCAGGTGCTGGAGCTGTTTGCCGCCTTCTCAGTCACTCCAGTACGAAGCACGATGTAGCCTAAGCGGCGCAAGATGCAGGTCCTCTGACATGGTACCGTGGTGCCATCAAGCTGGGCACTACGTCTACTTGAAGCTTCATGCGTACTTGTAAGCAGGGATATCTGCACCATAAATAAGGCTATAACCATAGCTACCCTACTTATAATCCCACTTCTCCGTACCCACGAACCTCCAACTACCCCTCATCACCATTGCAGCCTTGGGAACTTTCCCCCTTGACCGCAGTGAACGGAGCACGGATCTTTGACTCGGCACTGCCATCGCTGAGAATGACCTATGCAGCTCTGGGCGAAGCTCTTGGCTAAGCATCGGGCTTCTAGAACTCGCACAAGTGGGGCGGCTGGGTGATTTTGTGGCCTCTACACTGAGTTCCTTTCGGGGATCCTGACATACCGACAAGTATATCCCCATAATGGGCCACAATCTACAGCACTGGCCATGTAACCTCTTGGGACAACTACCAACCCTTCATAACCGACAAAAGACCCACGCTGCTGTGATCGACCAGTCATGGAGAACCTGTACAACAAAGGGCGGTTTGCTGCCCGCCACAGAATGCGACTGCTGTGGCGCCCCTTCTGCGCTGGATGGCATGCAACTGTGCGAGCCTGGTACGTACCGTCAGGAACGCCGAAGGCGGTGCCGAAAGGAAGGACCGTGCCTTCCCATTGTCCTTCAATGAGACTGACTGACTCTGCATTGCTCCGACAAGTTTTGGAAGCACATCGTCTGAACATCCCAGTTTTCCAGCACCCACAAGGGGAGACTTGGAGACTGGATTCTGAGGAAAGTGTGTGCTTCTGAGACTGACAAGCAACAAAAAGTTCAGGAGGAGACTTGGCTGTGAGCGCAACTGGATCAATTTCGATGGTTTCGGGTTGGGGACGTTCCCCCTTGTACTAACAGTCCTTAATAGGGATTATAGTACGCCCCCTATTCAAATCCCTCTTCAGGACTGTTAGTGTCAAGGGGAACATCCCAAGAAATAATCCCCTACATGCGCATTTCCCAAAGTAGGGGTACCCCGAATATCCCCCAAACATACTACGAGTGCAATCCTTTTATAGGAACCCACAAAAGGAATAGCCGGTTATTTCCGCCTGTCGAGTTGGCCAGCAGGAGCGCTGCCTTCGCCTCGCCCGTGTAAGTGTCCAGGACGGCCACTTGCGCATTCCTGCGAGCGAAAAACTCACATTGATACACATACATATACAATATATATCCATATGTAGATATATAATCCTGTCATGTTACACCCAAAAATATGTGTATATATATATATATATATATACACACATGTACTTGTTTTTTGCGGTTATCCCTTGAGTTGTCCCACACCTAAGAAGAGCCTCGACGACCGTCATATGGCCACTATGCCAGACTAGCATTTGTGATGTCTTGGCCCTTCTGTAATTCTGTCACGGGGGCCATTGCAAAGCTCAGCGCTGCACGACTGAAGTCAAACAGGAAAACATGCGAAGACGTTCGCGGCTTTACGACTGCAGCTTGCTCGTAGGCTCTTGCTCCCCCTCACTGGATGCCACCATATACCACCAAAGACAAGCTCATGAGCGAACTGCCACAAGCAGTCGGGGTCTTTGAGCGGGCGAACATGTGCGACTGGAAGGACACGGCGTCGGTGGTGGCACCGCGACGATAGACCTGAACTAAGGCACATGCGGCCCTTCGAAGGACTCCGCAGACACAAAGGTATGAGTGGTTGCAAAGTGGTGGTTTGCGAAATATAGACCCCCAAATACTAGGATCCCATTTTGCTGGGGACGCCAATAAGGTACCCCTAATATCGTCAACCCCCAAGTCATCAGCACATCTGTCGTAGTTCGCTAGGCTGCGGAGCGGTGTGTATCTTCCGGTTTTGTCGAATGACTCCAGGCATCTTGCTGGGGAATCCTGACCTATCGCCTAGACAGGAACGCAAGCTTTCCAGGTGGCAAAGATCGGCCAAGGTTCCACAATGTACATGACCGCGTTGTACCTGCAGAATTTCAGCTTCTAGCCTCTTCCTGTCACCTAAACCCTAAACCCTAAACCCTAAACCCTAAACCCTAAACCCTAAACCCTAAACCCTAAACATGCTGCAGCAGAGCTTTGCTCAAGGGTCACTGAAGCGAAGCCCGGACCCAACAACATGCTGCCCTGTGCTGCCACACTGCTTGGGCAGGGAGTCGACTGTGAAGGTCGCCACCGATAGTGTGTCCTGGGAAGTCACGGGCTCCGAACAGCCTGCGATTCCCGGCCGTCGACCCTGAACCCTAAACCCTAAACCCTAAACCCTAAACCCTAAACCGGGTGGTCGTGCGCCCTCTTTTTTTGCTTCCCCTTGCCCCTTGCCCAGTGTCCGCACGGAAGTCCAGGCGATCTCCCGGCATCAGCGGCTTCGTCAAGTTCAGCTGCTGACACTCCTGGCGCTGCTTTGAAGGGTTTGGGTTTAGGGTTTAGGGTTTAGGGTTTAGGGTTTAGGGTTTAGGGTTTAGGGTTTAGGGTTTAGGGTTTAGGGTTTAGGGTTTAGGGTTTAGGGTTTAGGGCTTTTTTGCCACCTGCCTCGCTGACCTCTAGGGGGTTTAGGGTTTAGGGTTCAGGGTTGGCTGAAGGCCTGCTCTCAAGGGCCTAAAAGGAGAGACGCACAAGGGGCCTTAAGGGTTACTTGGGGTTATTTACGGGCGATAAGGGGCCTTAAGGGTTATTTGGGGTTATTTACGGGCGATAAGGGGCCTTAAGGGTTATTTGGGGTTATTTAGGGGCGATAAGGGGCCTTAAGGGTTATTTGGGGTTATTTAGGGGCGATAAGGGGCCTTAAGGGTTATTTGGGGTGATTTAGGGGCGACTTAGGTATATCGGGTATATTTTTGGGGGTATACAGAGAATAAGCGTATACCCCTTCATGCTCACCCCGTCGTGAGCCGTCCACATGAAACATGTCGGCTTCTTCGGGCCTTTGCTGGTTGACTCAACATGACATGACTTCAACCTAGTTCGTAAAAAAAAACTTGCTGTCAAACAGCTCTTGCCAGACAGTGCAGCGCTTTTCGTTGTCCATCTTAACTCTCTTTCTTTTGGGAGGCTGAGGGCCGAACCCACAGCTCGTGGCGCCATCAGGGTATGGTGCAGCACCGAAAACTGGTGTGGATGTGCCCCTACACCCTAAACCCTAAACCCTAAACCCTAAACCCTAAACCCTAAACCCTAAACCCTAAACCCTAAACCCTAAACCCTAACCCCCCCCCCCCCCCCCCGGACACCCCTTTACGAGGTCTCCCAGAGCCTGCCTACCCCCCCTCCCTGGCTGCAAAAGGACTACTTAACTGAGTTGTGCTTTTAAACCCTTTGAAAAACCATTTATTTATGAATAGGCTCCCGTTTCAGGAAGGAAGGGAAATTAAGAATGGTCCCAAAGCACAACCTAGGAAATTGATTATAAGGAAGGAACAAGAAGAACAGTATAAGGACAAGGCGGGAAGGGGGTGGACGAGTTGTGAGGTTAAAGGCTTTCAAAATCGGGTTGTTACAAGTCGCGTGATCCGGCATAAGCCGACAAACGTGACTTTGTAGCAGACCTCCTCCCCGGGAACAACAGGTTCAACATTTCGGTGCTCCATTGGAAGTACTGCTTTTCCCCCACTTTTGGGGGCCAACATGTTGACTGTGCAAATGACACCAATCCATGCTAAGCCACTTCTGAGGGCGGCACACGAGCAAAATACTGCATCCCTAAAGACTGAAGGGACGCCAGCAAAAGAGCACGAAAACTCCCAAGAACCGCTTGTGGGTAGAGGGCGCGCTCGATCCGCACACAAGTGATGGTGGTGGTGCTGCCGCTGCTGCTTGACTGACCCAAGCCGAGGCCGATTGCTTGACATTGACTGACCCAAGCGGAAGCAGGTATAGAGTACGGTGTCGTGCACTGTGAACTATGGTGTCTTGCTAAGTAGTGCATACGGCTAGTGCAATGCGCAAGACATGCTCATGGTGTTACAACTGTCAAATTGCAGATCCGCCAAGGAAAGACCAGCTAAAGCCCGATCTCCTGGTACGCCATCTGCGGCCCGGTCATGATGCTGACGCCACCCATCTCCACATCAAATCGCTCAGTGCCGGGATAAGCGTTGCAAACCTGAGCTGAATGGAGGCTTGCAATCCTCTACAGCAACTCTAAAGTCGCACTGCGGCCCCCTGGCTCGTTGGCGCTGTGGCTACCGTCTGGGCATGTCTGGGCAACTCAAGCCAAAGCGCTCGCAGCGTGTGCTCATACTCCACCGGCTTCAAGAAGCTGTCGGTGGCAAGGTTTTTGGAGGCACGCTGATGTACGGTTCCTGCGGAGCTTCATGCACCACTGCCGCCCTCCGAATCACCAAGCCCTCAACCCTTTTGCAGGACTCCTCACCCACTGCCCACCCTGATTCCTCAGAAGCCCTAAACCCAAAACGTTACTTAGGCTTGTGCGGAAAGCCTGCTGCCAGGCCAGTCAAGCCAAACAGCGCCAAGAAGGGGAGCATGACGGCAAGCCTCACAGGGTTTAGGGTTTAGGGTTTAGGGTTTAGGGTTTAGGGTTTAGGGTTTAGGCAGGGTTTAAACGCAGACCAGCCAGACTGCAAGGTAGCCATTTCGGGATGACCGACAAGTCACTACGACTTTTTGTATTCTTGGGAGTGCGCGATTAGGGGCTTAGAGGTTTAGGGCTTAGAATGCGCGCAGAGAGAGTAGGCGAAAAGACGTAGCTCACGACAAGAACCCCTTTGAAGGTAACTTGCGAAGTTGCCTCAGGGGTGTCTCACAAGGAGCCATGGGGTTGTAAGAAATAAGTCAGCCCTTCGAAAGCTCATGCAAAAGTGGTGCCTGGAAAGATGTAAACCCTTTCTTGCCAGAGGACTCCCTTACGTGCCTCAATCTGCCGGTTATAAGGCCTAAACCGTAAACCCTAAACCCCCTGAACCCTAAACGCAGTGCCTACAGTTCCGAAAGCTGCAACGCGCGACGGCCAAATCAACTCGACATCAAGGAAACTCATTTCATCTTCTAAACCTGAAGAAGGGCCAAGCCTGCATCTTTATAGTTGCTTTCTAAGGCCCCTGATGGGATTCATGGGCAACCTCGAAAACCCTAAACCCTAAACCCTAAACCCTAAACCCTAAACCCTAAACCCTAAACCCTAAACCCTAAACCCTAAACCCTAAACCCTAAACCCTAAACCCTAAACCCTAAACCCTAACCCTAAACCCTAAACCCATAAACCAAGAACCCCAAACCCCTTGAGGAAGGCTATTTTGGGCCCAGGCCAGCACCTTCTCGGTCCCTTCGTTGCGGCTGCGGAGAGTTTGGGCCAAACGGCGGCTGAAGGGCTTGGGGTTTAGGGTTTAGGGTTTAGGGCCCTAAACCCGAAACCCTGAGCCCTATAGATCCGAAAATGGTGGAAGCTTGCTAGTGCTTTACGGGGAGCGGGGGAACAGGGATTAAGCTGGGATTGGCAAAAGGGATGGCTTTTCTCGCGATCCTCCAAGCTCTCTGTTGCTATTCTTGATGATATTCAACTCCCTGCCGAGGCCCAAACCCTTTTGAGCAACGGACTTGGGGGGCTGCCGGCAAACATGCAACTTCTCAGAAGTCACATCACGCAATCTGACGCAATCTGTGCTATATGGCTCGTGCATCACGAGGCATGAACTAAAGCTTGAAACACAAGGCACACTCACACACACACATTCATTCATCCATCTCCATATTCCTGTAGGCGCTGCAATCGTTCTGCTTTCCTTCTTTGCTTCATCTCCATCCGATGTTTCCTATGTTGATCAATCAGGAACTGATGATTTCCTTCCGGCAGGTCCAGCAGACTCTCATGAAGAGGTCGTGATGTTGCGACGCTGCTTGCCCGAGCAGTAGTCCCAACTTCTGGTAGACATACATCCGTGGAGACTTTCATACCATGCACCAGTGCCTGCATCTGACTAATCCGTGAGTCAAGATCAATCTCCATGCGGTGAATGGTTGCATCTCGGTCTTGAATGATCATCTCTGTCTGCACAAGAAGCTTCTCGAATTGAGCCTGAGCAGTCTTCAACACTCCTTCAGCAACAGCCTTGCACTCCATCTCAGTGCACATGTTTGCTTCGGTTTGTATGGACGCGTCGGCAAAATGCTGCGTCTTGCAATCGTGCAAAGCATCATACAACCTGACGATCTGGCGCTGGGCAACAGCTTCATCCGGATGGACATGTGTACAAAATCCTGTCCGAACGCAGTGTAACGCAGACTTCAGGTGTTCTGTCACACTTGGCACCTCCATTTTGTAGGATACACGCAAGGCGTAGGCAACACAGGATGTCAACCGTCGCTCCATTGCAGCTCACTTGGGGATGCACGAATTGGGATTTTGCCAGATGATGGCCTCGTAGCAGAAATGGCCCTTGAGCCAAAATGGCTTGAGCCATAGCCATTGGGCCTAAACCCTAAACCCTAATTAAACCCTAAACCCTAAACCCTAAACCCTAAACTAACCCTAAACCCATGCTTATCCCCAAGGCCTCTCAGCCCTTCTCGCTTTGGCAAATCTGTACTGGGAAGGCTGCCCAGTAACCGAAGAGGAAGACGGTTGTAAAGGCTTCTTCGACCTCTGAAGCATCCAGACCTTACCGGCGTTCCATGAAAAATCCTGCTGCGTTGTATGAAATCATATGAAGTAGGGTATATATTTCTTGTACCCCCAACAGGACACCAGGAATATACACTCACCAATATGAAAAAACGAAGCTTGTATACACTCACCAAAAACAGAAATATACACCCTGCTTCATATGACATCATATAAACAGGTAGAAGAGAACATCTCATAGAATATAACTTGAAGACAAGCGCTGACGTGGCTCTCAGCTGAGTGCTTCGATGTCAATGTTCCCTGCAGGGGAGCAACCTGGTCTCTCGGTAGGAGCCGGGCTGAAGGCTAGTGAGTCCAGTGCCTCGGCGGCTTGGACTCCGTAGCATGTGCTCACCATAGCATTAGAAAAAAGACCACATGTGCAACTCACAGACGGATTACTTGCGCTGCTTGCTTTGCTTCTGACTGCTTGCGTAGCTTTGCTTTGGGACGGGCAGTTCTCCCTCCGCGTTGCGGTTGGCTAGTTCTTTCCTTGGCTCCTGCTAGCCGCCAGCCAACAGCATTGGGATAAGCTGTTCTTGCGGCCTCAAAACAAAAATAAAACTGACAATAATAGAATTAAGAATCTGAACAATTATGATGATAATAAAAAAATGAAAATCATAAAAAACAATAATAACAATAATAATCACAAGAATAATAAGAATAATAACAACATTCATCAAAAATAATAACAATGCCTTGTAAAAGTGTGAACTATGGTCGCCCTGGGGCTGATGTGCACTGGTGCAGGTAAGTTTGACACAGGATTGAGGCAGTATGGTCAATGCCTAGTCTTTGGTTTAAGGGTTAATCTTGGATTGGACCCGCTTCTTGTGTCGGCGGCCGCCGTTAGGCGCTTTTCCGGAAAACTTTTTGACGACCCCCCGCCCCCCCCATCGATGAGGGTGGTCCGCAATGATGCGAAGTGCGCGGCCCGGGGTCTCGGAGAGGAAGGGTGGGAGACCGCGGAGCCAAAAGCTAAAAGTAGTTATGAATAAGAAGCTCCGGAATTTTTTCCGGTGTCCGGCTTAAATTCCTTTCACAATTTCAACAGCTTTCCAAGGGAGCAGCCCATGAGCTGCCCTGATTCGCTTTGGTGACTTGTTTCGGTTTCCCGCCTTCGTCCGGAGGGAGCCACAAAGCCTGGAAAGCTTAGACTCTCAAGCCTCAGGGCTTCCCCTCAAATCCTCGATTCTAGAGGATCTGCGAACACCCCCAAACTTGCTTGTTTTTTGGGGGGAGGGCCCGGGGGGGGGGGGGAGCCCTGGACGCTATAAAGGGAGTCCAACATTAGGGTTTAGGGGTGTACTCCCTTCATCACTACTATATAAGAGAAAAGAAATTTTACTTCCCAACCAGGTATGGGGAAACTATGTTTCCCGTTGCTTCCTCATGTGCTGGGACATGGACGACATTTGCAAAGCTGAGGCGAAGGCGCTCAACCACATGGCAGCATCCTCTCAAGATTTATGGTTCTTTGCCATGTGCTCAGCTCTCGACTCTCATAAGCCCCATGTCATGCTGGATCCAGAACACCTCAGACGCTATCTACGCAAAAGCGCCCCTGACTTGTAAGATCCAACTTATCAGGAGAGCAACCTACAGCCAACAGGAGCACAACTCAATTCCATAACTCTCTCCAACGACAGTGACCTTTCAGCCTACGCAACTACAGCTCTCAACCCACGACACGTACACTCCAGGGTAGCCAAAGAAACAAGTAAGGTTCAGTCGTGAAAGAGAGTAGCTGGCCTTCTGACTCAACCATCCATCCAACTGTGGACGAACTTTCCGCTGCCTGTCAAGACGTGGTACCGGCGCTGTTCAGTGCCTAGCTGAGCCCTCAGCAGCACTGAGGCAATGAACATCTTTAAAAAAAATGATACTACATCGTGTTGCCGAATGCAAAACGCCTCAAGACTGCATCTGTCTGGCTACTACCACAAAACCCTGACCCTTTTCAACCACCGACAAACCCAAATCCAGGCCTCCTGCAAATTTTTTCAAATCCTTTTGCTGCCGGGTTGCCACAAACTTGGGGGTGCCTTATCCTTATCATACGCGAATCCTACTATTTGGGGGGTCTCTGTTGTTGGGTACCCCTTTCGTAAACTCCCATAATTTAGATAATAGACCCAGTTTTGTAAAGCTAGGACGGCACCTGGACAGTGCATCTGCCAAGCTGCAGACGCCCTCCACCTGCAAAGGTCATGGAAATCGGGCTGCATGGTTCAGAGGTTTAAAGTTTAAAGGGGCATCTGCCTCCGTGCACCAAAGACGCGAAAAAAATATCGCAACCGGGCATCTTCTCGGCGCGCGGGCGTGCGGAAATGCTTGGCCAGCGTTGGCTGTGAACCCCAATCTCGAGGCTCATTTGCACCGCAGCCCGAGCTATGGCTCAGACATATGGGCCAAGGATTTGCTGGCTCCCTATGAAGCCAGCGAATGAGGGGCCCAACACAGTTACAAGGTTTCCCTGGTTGCTGCAACCAGCCATGTTGTGAAACAAGTTCTACGCTGTCGAAACTGAACCAGAAGGGTTCAAAGTTCAATGTGCCTTCACATGGCATCATGAACCGGGAAAATACGAAATTTTACACAGTCCCCTCAAAGCAAGGCTGGATGTTGCAAAATCCTTCACTCTTAGGCGGGTCCTGCAGACCAACGCCTGATTCAGATTTGTGCCCCCAGCTGCGAATTCTTTCGTGATCCTGCTTGTGAGCTTGCGTGCACGTTCGAGAGTACCGAGAAGATGCTGTAGCGCGCCTCACTTGTACTGGATCCCGATTTACCAGACCTGGCCGATCGAATCCTGGGCAACAGCAGTTTTTTATAGTCGGCATCTTGCATTATACAGCAGCC